GTGAGCCTTTTCACAGTGGAAAAAAGTTGGGAAATTCTCAAAATGCCTATAAAAGTCTACTAAAGTTCCGCTGTAAAATGTTTGCTGGGAATATTGTTTAAAACAACAAATTGCTGTACTTTTATTGTTTAAAACAACAAATTGCTGTACACACAAATTGTGTTTAAAACAACAAATTGCTGTACACACAAATTATGTGTACTTTTTTCATAAAGTCAAAATTAGTTTCAAAATACTTGAAAAATTTATTACTTTAATTTAAAAAAAGATGTCAGAAGATTGTTGTAAAGTTTTTATTTTAAAATAATCAAAAATAGGGTTATTTGTGTAAATGAGCGCATTTGTTAACTATAAACGTTGTATTAAAAACTTTATTTATTTATTTAAAATTTATTTTCATAAACGTTCAATATATAGTTTTATATTCTGTAATAAAAAATTTCACCTGTTTTAATTGATTGTCCGTTTCTTTACCCTGAAAGTCCCATAACACGCCTCTGCATCAATTTTATTTTTTGGATAAAAAAGAGTAAATAAATTTTATCTTAAAATAATAACTTAAAAATGATTGCAAAATAGACCTTTCAAAATCATTTATAAGCGAAAACCAGAAAGTTCGGTAATGTAACATGTGTAGTTTCGGTAATGCAACACCTCACAGTTAAAACCAAATTTCCAAAAAATCTTTTTTGTTTTAAAAGCAAAGTTAATACTTTTTAGACATTCAATTTAGTAAACATTACATCCAGCAGAAAAAATTTTCATAAAAACGTATATAAAAAAAATTTGTTAAATGTTTTTTTTTAAAAACCCAAGTACGAGATTTGTTAACTAATATATTATATAAAGTTTACTTGAACTCAGAAACTCAAAAACACCACGATGATATGAAAAATGTCAAAATTTAGAAATGTGGATTTATTTAGTTTATAGCTTGATTTGAAGAAAATGAATTAAAAAAACATACCCGAATATCATTTTTATGATCCCCATGCATAAACCCTCTTTTGCGATGCATTCAGTAATGCAACACATTTTTCAGAATGGCTCTTATATTTAAAGTTTTTGCTCAAATTTTTTTTTCAAAAATAACATATTAAAAAAGTTTAGATCTTTCTTATTGGTTATACTAAAAAAAAATTAAAAAAATACTGAGCAACACGGCAATAATCTAAAATCCTGTGAGCCGATGACCTTGTTGCGATAAGGAACAGAGAACCACAGGCCTTGCGATGAATAAGAACTGCGCGACGCATAAGCACGATGTGATTTTTGACGTCATTAAATTCTTTTTATTTGCTTTTCATATTTATCGACATTAACTGCACCAATTTACTTAATTACCGCAAAACTACTTAAGTAGAAATGTTATTATTTAAAAATGTTTTGGAATGTTTCGTTTTTTAAAATGTAAAAACATTTGTTTATTTCCTCGACGTTTGTCACGTTTTGTCTATACTAAACGAATAAAAAACATTACAACTTAAATTTAAAAAAGATTATAAAATATGCTAGTATTTGATTTTTTTTTCTTAAATATGTAATTTAAAGTTTTTCAAATAATTATTTTTTCTTTTTAAAAAGTCAGCGAGTAATAAACTGGAAATTTTAATATTGTACGATTAAAAACTGTGCAATAGCTAATATTTTTACAAGCGATTTTATATAATATTTATTTATTTATTTTTATTTATTTTCATAAAGCGGTTGATAAGCACAATCACTCGTATTAATAAAAAACTTAAACGAACGTTTTGAATAGATTTTTAATGTTAACAAGGAATTTTATTTCTAGTAAAATAAAATAAAATGTTAGAATAAAAATCTTATAGGTATAAAAGAAATATTTCAGCGAAAAAATTATTCTTAAAAATTATTCTTAAAAATTATTCGAAAAACTATTGACGTTTTATTTTTCAGCAGCTGTTCTTGAGCACGCTTCGTTGAGTTTCGGTAACTTTTAACATAAAAGCGATCGTTATTATTTAAGTAATTTTTTTGAGTTACTTTTTACAAAAATTTTAATAACTGTACTTTTTTATTGAATCAAGTAAAATACGTTTTAAGATTATTCCTTTTTTTTTTTATTTGCGCTCACCAATTTTTAAAATGTTTCCTCGAAATTACTTTTAAATACTTTAAATACGTCTAACAGTTAATAAATATTTTTAAATATAGGGAATAATTTTAAAACCTAACAAACCCCCGTAAAATAATTATTTAAGTATAAAATCTAAAACTAAAAGAAACTATTTTTGTTTAATTTTAACAACAACTTTGCTATTGCTGAATAATTTTATTAAAATGTTAGCTTAAAAGATTTAAACTTTTTCTTTAATCTGAATTTTTTCTACTTGTAAATAATGAGCATATTTAACTTTTTTTAATTCAAACTGTTATTTCAACTGCGTGCAGTTTTTAAAATACTTTATTAAATGTTAAAATAATTAAAGTAAATTACTTCATTAAAATTCCGCTCAAAAATATCTTTAAATATACTCAAACAAAAAATTTTTCGCTCGACGCAAATAGCCCTAGCTACACGCAAAATCGCTCTTGGACGACGTAAAATTCACATCGCCCGACGCTTTATCGCAAGGCCTGGAACCATATACTGATAATGATGATGATGATGATGATGATGATGATGATGATGATGATGATGATAATGATGATGATGATGATGATGGTGATGATGATGATGATGATGATGATGATGATGATGATGATGATGATGATGATGATGATGATGATGATGATGATGATGTTGATCATGATCATGATGAACATGTTGATCATAACGATGTTTATATAAAATATTAATGAATATATATATATATATATATATATACATATATATATATATATATATATATATATATATATATATATATACATATATATATATATATATATATATATATATATATATATATATATATATATATATAAAACAAAACATGAGTTTTGAATAAATAAAGATATTTAATATGTATAAATGTTTATGCAGCCCCGGTCACAAACTCAGCCCCAGTCCTACCAAATTTCAACCCCGCTTGTTTATTGATACATACAACTTCAGCACCATTAGAATACAACCTCTAAACTGCTGGAAATGTGGTCAATTGATGGTACAAATCTTTAACACCTAAAACAGTGGAGACACTGGCATAACTAAACTTTAAATAGGACTTATGTGTCCTGGACACTTAAAGTAAAATAGAATTTAGAAAAAAAAATATTTCTAAATAAGTGACAATATTGAATTAAAGGTTTCTATGGTACCCAAGTACCGCTTTTTAAATGGTATCCAAGTACCCGCTTGTTCATTTAATGAGTACCTGACCTGACATTTTAAAAATTTTCTACAGCTTTACTCTTGACTAACATTGCTTAAGGGAAGTGATTCTGCAACTCTATAGTTGCAAAACTGTAAAAAAAACTTTACAGTTATTTTTGTTCATTATAATATTAAAATTTTTGTTATTAAAGTAGTCTAAGAAGACCCAATAATCTTTACAGATAGCACTACTAAGAAGCACTTAAACAGGAAGTTCATGCTTCTTTTTTTACCAATGTTGCTTTTTGGGCTAGAGCCAACAAATCAAATGAAACTCTTGGTTGTGAACTAGAATTTTAGCTGGTGCACCATAGCTGCTTTTTCGAGTGTTTAATCACATTGACTTAACTTTTCAGCTTAACTTGATTTGAATAAATTGTGAAATAATCTAGTTTAGAAAAAAGTAACTCAGTTAAAAATGAGTTGTGCTATAAAGTAAAACCTAAACTATATTGAACTCTGTTAGTATTATTTGTTAATATTAAAAAATTCCTTTCCTTCAACTAAAGGTTTTCCCAATAAGACCAGGCTAAGTTATTTCTTGTTCAGATAGTATTGAAACAATATCATAAACAATGACAACAACAAACAACAAAAACAACATATTAAACAATTTAACAGCAAAAAGGATTAAATTTTGTCAGAGTTGTTAGGATAATTTTGGCAAATTCATTATTTGTTTTCTCCTATATTAATTTCAAGATTTTATCTACATCTAGCACAAATTGCAGAATGTTCTTCATTAGGATCAAAGAAATCAATAAAAACTTCTTAATTTTTACGGTTAAGACTATTCTAGCTGGAACTGCATCTGACCTGTTTTTAAAGCATAAAAAAATGATTAGGCACAATTTTAAGTGTGATAGAGTTTTGGTTAAATTTTGAAGACTTCAATTGTTTCAATTCATATTTTAAAAATGTAATATTATATATATAATATAAATATATACATATATAATATATGTATACATATAATATAATACATATACATATATAATATTGACCTTACATAAAATATATACATATTATGGTATTTCTACAGTTACAAGGCCTAAAACTGTTTCATTTAGAAAAAAGATAGCTGCTCCATACCAAACCCCCAGTCAACGTAGCAGCACAATCCCTTGCAGCAGCAGGCTATAAGATATTCATTGTGTGTAATGAAGCCAATAGATATTTTTTATGTTTAAAAAGTCTCACTGATGAGAGCGCAACAAGCAAAAATATATAACTATTTTAGATCGCATTGCTGTAGCTTTATCCATATTATATTATATATAATATATAAATTGTTTTTTTTATATACATAACAGATAATTTGGAAAATTTGGCCTAACAAAATATTTATTAGTTATGTTGTTAAGCCTAATTTTCTAAATTTCCTACTATGCATTAAAAAAAATTATAAAAAATTAGAATAAAAACTATAAATTCAAATACTTAAGAAAAGATGAAGCCTTGTCTAAATAAAAAAATATCTTTATAATTACAAAGATCACAATACATATCTTATATCTTATATCTTAAAGTAATGTTTGTGTTTTTTTCAACTGCTGTTTAACTTTCAATTCCTTAGTTATTATGAAATAAAATAAAAATATAGTTTAAAATACTGACTTTAATTTAAATTTACAACAACTAAGTTTCATAAAGCTTTTACCTATTAGCATTATCAGCATATGTGCCATGTCCTTTCATAAATCCGGCGTCATCCGTAATAACCTCTCCAGGAACAACAAAGTGTCGATCCTCTGATGAAACATACGCGGCTAATGTGGCACGTTGTCGTGGAAGTGATATATCAACTGACATAATTTTCTGCTATTTCTTGTATTATATACTATATATTACTCAAAATTATATTATACATTAATATATCAAAAAGTATTGTATTAAAAAAAAATGTGGTTCGGACAGACTTTACGGACGGATAAGGAAGATGGCTAAAGATAAAAGTAGATGTTTAAATTTAAAAAAAAAAAACTCAAGTCAAGGAAAGCTAATGAAAATAATTAAGCACTTCAAGTTCACAAACTTTTTATTTAAACTTTGTATTTAAAACATTTCATAATCAATCAATTAAAAAAAAACAAGAAAAATAAATTTTGAATTTCGTATCACGTTTTTTCAACATTATACCAAGACTTTACAAGCTTTCCTAGCGGCAAAGTTAAGAGTAACTTTGCCAGATCTGTTTTGGTTAAAAAGATGAGACTGTCGCCAAAACAACCCTGTCCCGTTATAGCTCTAAGAGCGTTCATGATCAGAATTAGCTTACTAAAGATCTCTCTCTTTTAGCCACAGTTACTGACAAGGAAAGATAAATACAAAGACAAATACATATCTTGGGGTTCATTCTTCAGATCGCGTAAATTCTATCAAGCAGACCTAAACGCCAATCATTTTACAATATATAGCATTGAATAAAAAAAAGTAGTAGATTCAAAAGAACACGGTCTTTGACTTTATATTCTTGACTGTTTGTTAAGTACCGATTAAAAACAAGATAAAGAATAGCAATCTGTGTTGCCCTATAATCAGCTATTATAACCTATAATCAGCTATTATAACCTATAATCAGCTATTATAACCTATAATCAGCTATTATAACTATATATTATAATCAGCTGGATGAATCTATACCTTGTGTTGAATTCGTTGAACTTTAATGTTTTTGATGCATGAACACCGTTCATCATCAATGATGATGTACAGTGTTGCTACATATAATCATTACAATTATTTGATATATAAAATTTGATATATAAAAATATATTTGATATATAAAATTGATTTGAAAAATAAATTTGATATATAAAATAAACATTTTTTACATCTTTATTAGTTATCTAATATCTTTAATATCTAATATCTTTATTAGTTATCTTTTATTAATTATATTTCCTCTGATAATTTTTTTCTGGTATTTCATTTTTTTTCTTCTGATGGTGCCTGATAAATGTGCTGCTCGGTGGAAACCAATTTGGATCCCCTATCTCTATACGCCCCTGAACATTGTATAACTTGCGTACATTGGAAAAAAAAATAGCAGTATAACATGCGTACGTTGGAGAAAAAAATAGAATGTTATTATTTACAATGGTTACTTTATCTGAAAATTTAAAACATAAAACGAAATCAAAAAAGGATCGCTTCTTTAATAACTAAACTTTAAAAAAAAGAATTTATTATTGGTACAATCAACTTGAAGAAAAATACAGAATTGTCATTAAAGTCTTATGTTGCTTTAAAGTATAACATTTCAAAAAGTGTGCTGTCAGCTTCAGCCAAAAATAAAATAAAAATCTTTACATTTATGAAAACGCAAAGTAGCGAATCAAAACGTAAAATAATTAAATAAAAAACATTTGTATATATTCAATCTCATAAATACAGAATCTCATTTTTAAATTCCTAATAGATGTAAAAAGTGGAAAAGTGATTTGCATTTATTAAAAAAAACAACCAGACAACTTGTTTATTAGATTATCATTAAACAATTTCAAGCGTATAAATTTTACTATGACTGATATTTAGATATTACAAAAATCTAAATTTACACAATAAGAAGTAACTTGAGGTAATTGCTAGCAATACCACAGCGCAAGAAAAATAATAATATTTGAGGTTTGACAAAAAACATATAATTTTCATGAACTTTTTTAATTCTATCCTTTTATAAATTAAGCTAGAACCTTGATGTTTTTTGCATCAATTAGTTTGCCTTAACTTTTTTGCAACTATGTATAGAAATTACTAAGTTTTAATGGCCTCACTTATATTCTATTCATGAATACATATGTCTGAAAACCTCTTTTGATAAAAAAAATTGTAAAAAATACAATAACTTTGGGTCAAATTAACTTTTAAAATTAAAAGACACCTCATTGTTTAGACTTTTAAGCTCTATACAACCATGTTAATTATTAATAAATATGATGTCCAAAAAAAGTTATGTGGAATGGCTATAATTACACGCATATAAAAAAATTCTGATCTTACAAACATGGAACAACCAGATAATAGGCGATTATTTACAATCAGTTAATATTACCATCAAAAAGCATATTTTATTTTTTTTAACAAAATTTATACAAATAGACTAAAAATTTAGGTAATAATACTTGCTTAAAATTAGATTTTCAAATATAATACATAATTAATATAATATAATATTTATATTATCGGGGTGTAGTCATAAGGCAAATATTGGCAAATAATGTCTTCTTTTAATATCTAAATATAATATTTTAAATATAAGGCAAATTATATTCTAAATATAAGGCAAATATTGTCTTCTTTTAGCCCCGGTCATGTAGATTTTATTTATATAACACGGCATTGTATTCTTTTTTTTAATGACAAATAAATAATAAATATATGACGATTTTTTAAAAATGGGGCTTCGTGATAAGTCAGAATTATGTCTTCTTCTTGCTCCAGCCATTACTTATTTTGTTGTATATATATGATTTTATATGTATTTATTGTAGAAGGCAAAATAAATATATTAAAAAAAAAAGGAAAAAGATAATTTATCGCAATCGGATCAATAATTTATTTTGTTTAGTTTTGCTATACAGTTATTTTAAATGTCATTATCATTATTACATTTAATAATTTGTGTAACTCTATTGAAAATAACAGGGTAGAGATAAGAATGGCTCCACCAAGCCATGGTCTATGGAACTATACTTCCATTTAATTATTTTGAAAATTATCTTAATTTAAGAGGAGAAGCAACAGAAAAAGTTACAAGTACAAAGTACAAAGAACCAAAGAGTGAAAAATGTGTAGAGATAAAGCAGTTAAAAGTAGAGTTACTTTTTTGTTTTGTGAAAATTGTTGTGTACTTTTTGAAATTGTCACGAAAAACGCTGCCATTGTGTTAGGAAAATTTTAAACAAGTCAATGGCTTATTACAACCTCGACGCAACTTTACAAACCCAGGGATGGCATGGGATACCTTACTGCAAAAGACAAGATTTATTCTAGAGCTCTACCTTGATATTGATATGCAATTATTCTTTAAAAAAGTTCTACTCGCTGACATAAGGATGGTTTCCAAACGGTTCATAAAAGTAAATAATCTAGAATGTCTGAGTTGTGACAGTGCTATGCCAAACACTTTTAACATGTATGTATCTTGACGCGAATAACTCGTACGGTTGGGATCTAATGCAATCATTACCGATTGGTGTTTTCTAGTAGTGACAGTCATCAATAAAAGAAGTTTTAGCCACAGTAGACAAAGCACCAGAAGGTTTTGCTCTCGAGTGACACAAAGTACGCTTATTATCAAAATGATACTCGTAATAAGTCACTTGCTCCTGAAACTTTAACAATTCCAAAGATTGGCTAAGAAAGTAAAAGGGAGTATTAGGTTTAGAAACTCAACATAAATTTTACCGAGTTTGAATATTGACATGTATACTATCTTTTATTTTTATTTTTGAATTTAATTGGCTGCAATCACGTTTGATAGAACCTTTAACTTCTTGATTGATGAAAAAACGAGTAAAACTGAAGCTCAATAGAACCAATTACGTCGGGCTGACTGTTCTCGATACCTTAAAGAACCTAATGTATGGCATAATGTATACGCAGATTAGGGCTAAGTTGGTATGAAGATGCAGCTATTTTATACGAACACATGTAGTCTTCTTTTTGAAGTTGCAACCTCAAACATCTACAATAATAGAAAATAAAATTAAGTTATTTGAGTAGCGAGTACCTTCAGGATGACCTTACTACAACGAAAGTAATAAAAAAAGGTTGTTGTCAAGTTTGAGGAACTTCAAGGAACTCGTTTACATAATTATTGGCCAACAACCTAAAATTAACATCGTTCACAAAGCTAAAGGAATATGTATACTTCGTAATAAAAAGATAACATAGGTACATCAATGGCAATATAATAAAAATTATCAAAAGAAATACTAAAATACATAATTTATTCATATGTTAACATTTTAAGTATGAGTCATCTTCAGATAAAATGTTATTAGAGACATTTTGCTTATAAGAATATTTATCAGAATGTCCTCATTCATACCAAAATTTGCAAAATAATTTTGATTTGTATCTCTTTTCAAAAAAATTTTGATTAGATGACATCCACATTCAGTTAATGGTGTATGTTAAATTAATAACTTAGGAGTTTTTTGACAGTAAAATATGTATCAATCTTAATATATGTTATTACCTTTTAACCCTGAGTCATAAAGATTTCCACAACCACTTACCTCATTATTCAAAATTAGCGCCCAAGAATGACTAATCAGTTTGTTACGTGATGGTGTTATACTGATACATGGTCCAGGTAAACTTATTTTTGTAACAGGTGGAAACTCGTTAAATAGAAATAAATAAAAACTTGTATAATAGAAATATACAAATATAATTATATTGATTCAAATAAATTTTACTTTTTGAGGAAAATATTCAAAAAATTACCGAGACCACCAATTCGAACTTTTGATATTAAACAGGCAATTATGCAATAATTAAATCCCTGTTTGATTTTGTGTACAATAGTTTTCTAGCTATGCAACCTATTGTTGGTGCTTCTCTTTTTCCAATTTCATTAAGGTAGACCCATTTTATACCTTTTTTTTTCATTACAAACAGAGATTTCATTACAAAAATTTCTGTTTGCTATGAAATCTCTTCATGCTTCAGAAAGCTATTTAAAGCACTGAAAGGAGGCTCAAATTAATCAAAAACTCATAAATGTACCCAGTAAAGCATGAATAATCTATAAAAATATTGGTAATTTCTAAATGTAATAATTTTTAATATCAAGTATGTTCACATATTAAAAATATAGAATAATATGAACACTATAACAAGATACCAATTTACTTGTATTGGCTTCACATCACAGATTGGAATTGGTTTTATGGTTTGTCCAGCCCTTGTGATATAATAGGGTTTTT